CCCCCCCCCCCGCCAAAAAAAAAGAAGACGACTTTGATACAGAAGAGGCAATTAGCTTTGTTTTTTCATTTTTTTTATCTTAGTACTTAAAATCTTTTTCCATTTTGGTAGTGCACACATTCATTCCAGGGCACACTGTTTAAAACGCTGAGTCCTGGGGAAGCCATGCAAGTGGGTGGGTTGGTGTGGCTCTCTGGCTGGGGCCTCCGTGGGGCTTGGTGTGACAGCCAGTGCTACCTCCATTTGCCCTGTCGGTAGTGCTTCATTGAGCCCAAAGGTGTGTTAGCACCCAGGGGACCAGGAAGAGACAAAGCAGCACCTGCCCCAGCCTCTGGAGATCTCGGTGAGGGACACAAATCACAGATACAATGCCATCCATACAGACTCTGGTTGGCACAAAGCTCCTTCATAATTCCGGGAGAGCAGAGATGAGGCCTCGGCCACTGAAGCTAAACTTTGCTCTTCCAGAACGTGGTCCATGAGCTGAGGATAACCAACCAGGTGATCTACCTGAACCCACCCATCGAGGAGTGCAGGTACAAGCTGTACCAGGAGATGTTCGCCTGGAAGATGGTGGTGCTGTCCCTTCCCCGGATCCAAAGCCAGCGGTACCAGGTGAGTCTGGGATGCAGAGCCTGTGTGAGAGCTGCCTCTCTAGGGCCTGGGGATCGGCTGCTTACAGATCTGTCACATGCTGGGCTCCAGGTGGTGTGGCTCTCGGCAGCTTGGCCCATAGCCTCTAGATAGCCCTTGTTCTTTTGCTTCATAACCCTGCCTGCTGCTGCTGTCTCCCCCACTTTATTAGAGGAATGTCAGACATACACTGAAGCAGCAAGAACGGTGGCCTTTGTTGACCCACTTGTGGCTGGTTTCATTGTACCTGCTCTCTCCCACCCCCACTCCCCCGGTTATGTATAAGACAGAGTGTGCCATGATAATGGTGCCTCTGGAACTGGAGCAGAGTACAGAAGACTGCGCCGTCCCTGCCTGGCTGGGTTCCTTCTAACAGGACTGGGCTTCACCCTTGAAAGGGTCACCAGCCTCTCTCCCTTGCTTCCTGGCTCCTCTGATCCCCTGCCCTCCAGTCTTTCCTCCCCCTCCTGGCCTTCTGCTATTCACCCTCCTCTGGCATCCTTTGTGTCCCAGTCGCAGCAGTCTCATGGATCTGTAGCTTAAGACCCCCCTCTCATGCTGGTTACCCAGCCCGTCCAACCCAGGCCTGTGGGTGCCGCTGCCCATGGGTGACCCTGTCCTCAGCGCATCTCTATAGCCCCCAACAGTGTGGCGTCACCCCCTTAGCCTCCCGCCTGCCTGTACTCTGCTACTGTACCTGGAAGCAGTGTTCAGTGTGGCGGCTGGGGGAAGCCTTCCGTTCTGAGTTGGTCCTGACCCTGTTCCTCTCGGGCTGCCCAACAGAAAGCCGAGCCCACCTGCCAGGTGCCACGCCCTGTGCTGTGTTGCTCTAACCTCAGCCCTGCTGCTTCTCACCTCACTGACTGCCCCCAACACCAGCAGAGTCGGGTGCTGGCCTCCGCCCTGCTCAGTCTCTGGGAACCAGTGCCCACCTGGCTTCCCCTCCCCGCCTGTGCCTGTCCATCTGCTCGCTTTCTGCCTTCTGTTGAGGCTTTTCCTCGCTTCCCCATTTAAAATAACAACGAAAGCTCAGGCATAGCTCAGTGGCAAAGTGCTTGCCTCTAATGCACAAGCTTGGGGTTCAATCTCTTGCACCGCAAAAAACAAGATCCAAAAAAGGACACAAAACCTGCCCTGTGCTACCTGTACTTCCTGCTCAGGTCTCAGATCCCTGAACTACGGCTCCCTCCCTTAGGACGCAGATCCATGTGAGCAGTGGGGTTTTTGGTTGGTTTCTTGTACTTGGCCTAGCAGCCGGTGTGTGGTGGGCAGGTGGCTTCATGGACTCAGCCACTGGCCCCTCTGCTGTTGGCAGTGCTGTGCTTTTTGCTTTTCTGGGTAGGTTCAATCTTGCATTCCTTTTGTTGGCGTTAGTGTTCAATATAAACAGACTTCCTATTGGTGTTAATGTTTCTATTGAGCTCTTAGGTCAGTATCAACTGTTAGCTGCCATTTGATGGCTTCTCTCTGAGATCTGCATTCTGGCCCAGCCACTGGCTCACTTCCGCTTTGGTCATCAGGTGGGCGTGCATTACGAGCTGACGGAAGAGGAGAAGTTCTATCGGAATGCCCTAACGCGGATGCCTGACGGGCCGGTGGCCCTGGAGGAGTCCTACTCTGCCGTCATGGGCATCGTGACCGAGGTGGAGCAGTACGTCAAGGTAGGTAGCTCCCGGCTGCTCCACACACTCCGGAGGCTGGGGCTTGGCGCAGGCCTTGGCTGCGGGTCAAGCAGCTCACTGGCCAGTGTTTGCTTATTTAAAGAGTGAATGATAGCACAGATTTTTTGGGTTTTAATCAAAGCTTTCAAGAACAGTAAATTATGTGTTTAGATAGGAAAGTTCTGAGAATTTAAAATGGGCATTTCCCACTGGGGTGGAAATCTGGCGCTTTCAGGAGGCCCAGGAGGCAACAAGCTGCAGTGTCTCTCTGCGCTCTCGTGCAGGTTTGGCTGCAGTACCAGTGTCTGTGGGACATGCAAGCCGAGAACATCTACAACAGGCTTGGCGAGGATCTCAACAAGTGGCAGGCGCTCTTGGTCCAGATCCGGAAGGCCAGAGGCACCTTTGACAATGCAGAGACCAAGAAGGAGTTTGGCCCCGTCGTCATAGACTATGGCAAGGTGAGCCGGCTTTGTTTTCGCAGCCGGCATGGGTGAGCGGAGTGAGCTGGCGGGAGAGAACTAATGCCATGCTGCCCTGCGTGCGCTATGCAGGTCCAGTCTAAGGTGAACCTGAAGTATGACTCCTGGCACAAGGAGGTTCTCAGCAAGTTTGGGCAAATGCTGGGGTCAAACATGACGGAATTCCACTCCCAGATCTCAAAGGTGAGGCGTGGGGCTGCGGGCCAGGGCCAGGGCCAGGGCTGGGCGGACTTGGTGGGACACCGCCCTCTGCCCCCAGTCTCGCCAGGAGCTGGAGCAGCACTCTGTGGACACAGCCAGCACCTCCGATGCGGTGACCTTCATCACCTACGTGCAGTCTCTGAAGCGGAAGATCAAGCAGTTTGAGAAGCAAGTTGAGGTGAGCTCTGAGCACTGCTTAGTTCCCACTCTGGACCACTCGCGCTGTCTAACTTTGTGCCATCTTGTGCCCCTGACCCCCCTGGCACCATCTCGAAATGCCGGGAACAGCACTGTGCTTGGTAAAGTGCAGGGCAGACGAGTACCATGTGGCCTGCAGTGACTCCGATTCTCTCACTGTGGCAGTACATTTGTCAGTCCAACTCCTGGTGCAGTAGGGAGAGGGAGAGGCTCACCTTGCCTGCACCCTGCCTGGCGAGCTTAGCTGGGCAGCACCTGCTGGCATGGCAGACCCTGTCTGCCTAGGGGTCTCAGGGCGGACAGCCACGCCAGAGCAGATGTACCCATCCTTGGCATTCTCCAGCCATAAAGCCCCCTTCTCAGGGAACAGGAAAATTGAATCTGTATTCTCACTTTCAAAGCTCTACCGCAATGGCCAGCGCCTGCTGGAGAAGCAGAGGTTCCAGTTCCCGCCATCCTGGCTGTACATTGACAACATCGAGGGTGAGTGGGGGGCCTTCAACGACATCATGCGGCGGAAGGACTCCGCCATCCAGCAGCAGGTGGCAAACTTGCAGATGAAGATCGTGCAGGAGGACCGCGCTGTGGAAAGCCGCACCATCGACCTGCTCACAGACTGGGAGAAGACCAAGCCTGTCACGGTAAGCTGCGCACAGGAAGCCTTGCTGCGCCTCAGTTTGTCAGCACTGGACACTTGCCTCTCTGTCACTAAGAAAGCAGTGTGTGCATGCAGGTGTGGTCCACACCTGTGGTGTGTGTACCTGGGTCCCCAGCTGCATGGGAGGCTAAGGTGGGAGAAGGCTGGAGACCAGCCTGGGCCACATAGCAGGCTCCTCTCAGAAAAGCAGGGGATAGGGATTTAGCTTTGTTGTAGACAGCTTGCCTAGTGTGCACAAGGTGCTGGGTTGGATCCCCAGCGCCACAAAACAGTTTTTAAAAAGCAGTACTTAATCTGTCATTCCAGCACTTAGAAAGCTGAAGCAGGAGAGGTGCAAGTTCCAGGCCAGTCTGGACTACATTGTGAGATTCTGTCTCAAGCACAAAAAAAGTAGTGTTGCAATAGTGAATTGAAAGCCACTGTAAGCCTCTTTTTGACCAGGACAGCAGTCATTTAAATCAGGAGATGTGTTTAAGGATTAAAGTTGTGCTGCTTTCTGGCTGTAGTCTTCCTTGAATTGGCATCTGATGTTAGGTACATGCCGTGCCTCACACTGCTGCCACCAGCTGTGATGCCAGTGCGTTCTGAGCTCCATCCCCAGAGCCTGCTGAACCCGCTTCTGCTCTGCAAGTGCATGTACAGTGCAGCTGTCCTCCAGGCAACCGTGCCACAGCAGACGGGGTGGGCGGGGACAGTGAAGGGATCTGGGAGAGGCGAGGAAGGCAGCACATTGGCTTGTGGGGATGGGATTCAGACTTTTATTTAGGCATTCAGAAAAGCATGGGAAATAAAAATGGAAAGTCTATTAAAATGCTTCAGGTGAAAATCTGGTTTCTGCGCTGGGAATGCAGGTTTTTCACAGCGGGCCTGTGGGGAAGACATGATGTGCCAGAGTCACTCCCTCCGCAGAGCCCCTCTGTGCCTCAGCCCACATGTTCTCCTTTGGTTTCATTTTGGTTGGGTTGTTGCTGGGGGTTTGTGTGATTTTTGTTGTTGTTGTTGTTGTTTTTTACTGGGGATTGAACTTAGGACCTTGCCCTTTCGAGGCAGACAGTGGCACCACTGAGCTAAATCTCTGGCCAGGGGTTTGAGGGGTTTGTCTTTTGATTTTTTTGAGACAGGGTCTCTATATATAGTCTGGGCTGGTCTTGAACTTAAAACAGTTGTCCTACCTTAGCTGCCCGAGTGCTGGGATCCACACGCGTGCACTGCTGTGTCTGGTTGGATTGCTGTTGTTTTACCTGTTCTCACTGTTCCAGTATTGTTGGGTTACAAATATGCCAGTAGGCAAGAGTCTTGCCCAGGATGTGTGACAGTTAAAACTTTAGGTGCAGATTTGCTTTGGTAGGAAATCGAGATTTTGTGCAATTTTTTTGGTGGGAGGGTGTTTTGTTTTTGAGACAGAGACTTAATATTACTTCAGGCTGGTCTTGAACTCACTGAGTAGCACAGGCTGGCCTCAAACTTGTGACAACCCTTCTGCCTCAGCCTCTCAAGTGCTGGGATTACAGTCCTGCACCACCTTGACTAGCTGTATAATCGTTCTTAGAAGTTATCGAAATGAGAGGCGTGTGAGTGCAGTACAAGGCATGACCGGCAGGCTGTGCCCCACCAGAGCCCCGTGAGACACAGCCAAGCTGTATGTGCACTGCAGTGTGAGGTGCTGCCAGCTGCTCACTCAGCAGTGCGCACGCGTGTTTGGGAGACTGCTTGGCAAAAGTTCCTCGATGCTGATGGGTGTCGCGTCCTGTGCCCTGCCTGCTTCCAGGGCAACCTGCGGCCCGAGGAGGCACTGCAGGCTCTGACCATCTACGAGGGCAAGTTCAGCCGGCTGAAGGACGACAGGGAGAAGTGCGCCAAGGCCAAGGAGGCGCTGGAGCTCACTGACACCGGACTGCTCAGCGGCAGTGAGGAGCGTGTGCAGGTGGGTTGCACAGGAGGTGGTGTGGTCTGGGCCAGCCCGAGGCCTGTGAGGTGTGACACTCTGCTGTCCTCACTCCCAGGTGGCCTTGGAGGAACTGCAGGACCTCAAAGGCGTTTGGTCGGAGCTCTCGAAGGTCTGGGAACAGATCGATCAGATGAAGGAGCAGCCATGGGTTTCGGTTCAACCTCGCAAGGTCCGTCTCCCCTCATTGAGAGGTGTCTGGTGTCTGTGACAGTCACAGACCTCGCTGAGGCACACCCTTGCACACACAGGACTGTGCGTTTACACCGTGTCATGTAGCTTCCTGCGCATCACTGAAATCATTTATCCAACTTAAGGAAATTTTATTTTTAACCATTTTTTAAAATATTTCACCCTTCAAAGTAATGCTGGTAAATGAAATATCTTGTGTTTGTCCCAACAGCTTCGGCAAAATCTAGACGGCCTCCTGAACCAGCTGAAGAACTTCCCTGCACGCCTGCGGCAGTATGCATCCTACGAGTTTGTGCAGAGGCTACTGAAAGGGTACATGAAGGTAGGTGACAGCACTCAGGGCGGCTATCCCCGCGTGCACCTGCTTCTCCAACATCCTCTGCTTCCCCCACAGATCAACATGCTGGTGATTGAGCTAAAGTCGGAAGCACTGAAAGACCGCCACTGGAAGCAGCTGATGAAGAGGCTTCATGTGAATTGGGTCGTTTCTGAGCTGACCCTTGGCCAAATTTGGGACGTCGACCTGCAGAAAAATGAAGCTATTGTCAAGGACGTGCTGCTGGTGGCACAAGGGGAAATGGCTCTGGAGGAATTCCTGAAGCAGGTAAGCACTCTGAGTATCAGGCCCTGTGTGTGTCTGCAGCTTGTCCTCCAGCCCTCCAGCCCTGAGCGTGCTGACCGCTGACCCCTGCCCACTTCTGACCAGATAAGAGAGGTGTGGAACACATACGAGCTGGACCTGGTCAACTATCAGAACAAGTGCCGCCTCATCCGCGGCTGGGATGACCTCTTCAACAAGGTCAAGGAGCACATCAACAGCGTCTCGGCCATGAAGCTGTCCCCATATTACAAGGTGCCACTGTCTGGGTGCTCTGCCCACTTTCCCTGGAGCACCTTGGGACTGAGCAGAAGGGGTCCTAACCCTCCACTTCCTATGAGTGAGCTCTGCCCTCCTGCACCCCCTGCCCCAGGTCTTCGAAGAGGATGCACTGAGCTGGGAAGACAAGCTGAACAGGATCATGGCTCTCTTTGATGTGTGGATTGATGTACAGAGACGGTGGGTCTACCTGGAAGGCATCTTCACAGGCAGCGCGGACATCAAACACCTGCTGCCCGTGGAAACACAGCGGTTCCAGAGGTGCGGCCTGCAGTGGGAGCCTTGTGGGCAGGGACAGGTGCTGGGCACTGTCTGCTAAGACTGACTCCCTAAAGACTGTTTGATTTGCAGTATCAGCACGGAGTTCTTGGCTCTGATGAAAAAAGTGTCTAAGTCTCCGCTTGTTATGGACGTCCTGAACATCCAGGGCGTGCAGAGGTCGCTGGAAAGGTTGGCAGACCTGCTGGGAAAGATCCAGAAAGCACTGGGGGAGTACCTGGAGAGAGAGCGCTCGTCCTTCCCCAGGTGAGAACAGGGATTTCAGCTGTGGTTTTTCCAGCCACCCCTCCCTCTGGGCCTGGTGTCGGGCCGTCGGGGGTTTCATTAGCCAGGCAGTGGCTTCGTGAATGGGATCTGCCTTCCGTGCCTCGGTGTCTCATTGTGCCCTGCCGTCCTGAGCTTCTCTGAGGCTGGCCACCTCCTCTGGCAGCCTGCCCCTCAGCCTCCAGCTGTTCTAAGTGGCAGCACTTCCTTTCCAAGTACTGAAGTTTGCTTAGGATGAATGGAGCAGGTTTTCTAAAAATGAGTTCATGAAATACAGTGAAGCTATTCAGTTCTTCCTTCACATTGTGTTAAGTAAATGCATATCTTTGCTGAGATCTGGAAGATATTGGGTATAACCTGAATTCAGGCTGGAGGTTTTCTACCAGCAGCCACATCCTCTTTCCCTTCCTGCAGTTTGTGTTCTTCCTTGGTTCACCTTATTTCCATGTAAAAAAATAGTAGCAGCTCAAATGCTCTCTTAATTTTAGGTTCTATTTTGTGGGTGATGAAGATTTGCTGGAAATTATTGGAAATAGCAAGAATGTAGCGAAACTGCAGAAACACTTCAAGAAGATGTTTGCTGGCGTCTCGAGCATCATCCTGAACGAGGACAACTCTGTGGTCCTGGGCATCTCCTCCCGGGAGGGAGAGGAGGTACTTGGCGTCTGTGTTTGTGCCCTGAATGCAGCCATCTGCGTGCATCTTAACCCTTCACGTGTCATTTTTCAGGTCATGTTTAAAACCCCCGTGTCCATCACCGAGCACCCCAAGATCAACGAGTGGCTCACGCTGGTGGAGAGGGAGATGAGGGTAACCCTAGCGAGACTCCTGGCTGAGTCTGTCACCGAAGTGGAGATCTTCGGGAAAGCAACTTCCATCGACCCAAACACCTACATCACTTGGATTGATAAATACCAGGTTCTCACAGCAGCGGGCCAGTGGGCCCTGACTGCAGAAGCGGGAGGCTGAGGCGGGGCTTACTCCACAAGCGGGATGACTCTGGCACTTAATTCTCTCCCTCTCTCTCTCTCAGGCCCAGCTTGTGGTTTTGTCTGCCCAGATAGCCTGGTCTGAGAACGTGGAGAACGCACTGGGCAGTGTAGGTGGGGGCAGTGACATGGCTCCCTTGCACTCAGTGCTGAGCAATGTGGAGGTCACCCTGAATGTGCTGGCCGACTCTGTCCTCATGGAGCAGCCGCCACTCCGCAGGCGCAAGCTGGAGCACTTGGTCAGTTGCACACCAGCCCTGCCCACCTCACAGTGCTTCCCACCCAGCAGCGAGGCCACAGTGCCTGACAGTGTCCTAGCTTTCGGGCAGGGCCCTGACTCCCTGTCCTGTTGAAAGACAGGCTTGGTGACATCCAGAAATCTAGTAGCTGCACAGAAGGAAAACTGACTTGCTTTGCCAGGGTTGTTCCCTCTCATCAGTCACCTCCTAAGACGAGTAGCCGCGGCAGCACTAAGCAGCCTGGCTCTGAGCCCCGCGAGCTGGCCTGTGGGCAGGGCAGGGACGGAGGAAGCCCCTTCCCACCCCCGTAAAGTCATGACTTCCGCTCTTTCTCCGTCATCTCTATGGCTCTTGGTTCTGGGTGGCACAGGGGCCTTAATCACAGTCCTGTCTCCTGCAGGTGGATTTGTGTTCTGGAATATTTACTGAGAGCCACTGTGAGCAGACCCATACTCTCAATCACCAATGATCCCCGCACGCAGGGGTTGCACTGTGTGATTTTAGCTTATGATTTTTTATTTCCCCAGATTACAGAATTAGTTCACCAAAGGGACGTTACCAGGTCCTTGATCAGAAGCAAGATTGACAACACCAAATCCTTCGAATGGCTGAGCCAGATGCGATTTTACTTTGACCCCAAGCAAACTGATGTGCTGCAGCAATTGTCCATTCAGATGGCCAACGCCAAATTTAACTATGGCTTTGAGTACCTGGGTGTGCAGGACAAGCTAGTCCAGACACCCCTCACCGACCGCTGCTATCTGACCATGACACAAGCCTTGGAGGCCAGGCTGGGGGGGTCCCCATTTGGTGAGTTGCTCCACACACTTGCATAGACAAAGTTATAAATGACACACAAGCCTTTTGAAGAACAAGCTAATGACTTTGATATAGTTCCTACTACATTCTATAGTTTAGTACGTTCTGAAACCTTACATTTGTCTGTATTTGGTATGTCTGCTTTGACTTTGAAAATGGATTGCTTCTGAAGTTCTCATAAGGTGCATTCCTGTTTAGCTGATCACTTGAGTACTCAAAGCTCTGCTTCAAATTATAGGGCCTGCTGGAACTGGGAAGACAGAGTCTGTCAAAGCCCTTGGCCATCAGCTCGGACGCTTTGTTTTAGTTTTCAACTGTGATGAAACCTTCGATTTCCAGGTGAGATGCTTTCTGAGAGTCATCTAAAATTGATGGCCCAAAGTCCCCCTCAGAGCCATCAGGCTTGTTGTTCAGCGTGATTTATCTGGCTCCTGAGACCTTGTAAGGATCGGTGCTGTTTTGAACTGTTTGAGGAATCCAGTATGTGTGCTTTAACTTCATGTTTCCAAAGTGATTTCTTTACCATTTTTATAAAGCAGTTTTTGGAAGAAATGCTTGATGGCTATATCTCAGAATAAATATAAGGGAGAGCTTTTTCAGTCAACAAATTGGCAGAATATAAAGTCAGGGTTGTGTGAGGTGGGCCATTTGGAACCTGAGCACGGAGCTGTCTGGGCAGGGCCTGCTGTCTGGGCGCTCAGCCCCTTCCCCGGTGTGGCTCTCGCCCCAGTGACCACCATGGTAGGAAGATGCTGTATTCTCATTTCAAGTGACTTTCTGGAACCAGGTTAAGTGTAAAGCGCACCCCAGGCAGACGGTACCTTAGTCGGCGTGGCTCACACACCAGCACCACTTCTCGGGTTCCTGGAGCCTGGGTGTCCCATCCGAGGGCTCTCCCAGTGCACAGCCATCATCAGGTCCTGCCCATCCTTCCTCTGCACACCGAGAGGGGCTCTGGTGTCAGAACACCAGTCCTAGGGGGTGGGTGGAGCTCAGTGGAACACTCCTTGCCTAAACGTGCAAAGTCCTGGGTTCAGTCCCTGGCACCAAAAACAAAACAAAAGAGCAAGAACCCCAGCCATCCCATCTGGTGGGGGCCCCACCTGTATGACCCCATTTAACATCAGTGCTGAAAGGCCTGTCTCCAGACAGTCACCTTGACGGTGAGGGTACTGACAGGACCCTGGGGCCCCAGAGTCAATCCTGACAGGTAGTTTCCACTTCCTCCTCTCTATTTTAGGCGATGGGACGCATCTTTGTGGGGCTCTGCCAGGTGGGTGCCTGGGGCTGCTTTGACGAGTTCAATCGCCTGGAGGAACGCATGCTGTCGGCCGTGTCACAGCAGGTGCAGTGCATCCAGGAGGCGCTGCGAGAACACTCCAACCCCAACTACGATAAGAGTAAGGCTCCCTCGCCCACAGCGTCCTCAGAGAGGGTGCTGGGAGATGACAGAACTCGCTGGGGGGCGATGCCAGGCATGGGCTGCAGGACGTGAGTGAGAGTTGGGTGCTGTGCTGCAGCAGGGGGTACCCTGGTCCTGGAGCAGCCCCTCCTTGGCCTGCAAGGCCCTGGTGGCACGCCCTCCCGCACATTTGTTGCGCGGGCAGTGAGGCCTCTGTTTCCACGGTCCCAGGCACCTGCCGTGGAGTCACGGTCAGGCCCAGAAAATGAATGGGGCCAGTCCTACCTCTGGGGTTTCCTGTTATCCCATAGTAGCAACTTGCCTTACAGTGAACTCCACAGGCCTCCCAAGTAAACAGAAGGAGGTCAGAGAAAGTGGTCCCTGCACCTTTGTTACACTCCTCTGCTGCGGCTGCCGTCCCCAGGCCTCCAGCGGGCTGGAGAAGAGCCTTGCTGTGCTTCTGTGGCGTTAGGAAAGGCGTCCAGTACCTTGAGCCAGCATATTACTTGCAACCCTGCTTTGGCTGAGTTTCTGGCTGTGGTGCTCAGTGCTAGCTGGGGGCCCCTGCCCACATGGCTGGCCGGGCGCTCTGTGCTCCTGCCGGGTAGCCCTGGGCCAGGTGTTCTAGTTCAGATGCCTGTGGGGATTGAGTCACAGGGAGACATTTCAAGAGATCTTGGCCTTGTGTCTAATTTCAGCCTCCGCACCCATTACCTGCGAACTGCTGAACAAACAAGTCAAGGTGAGCCCAGACATGGCCATCTTCATCACCATGAACCCTGGCTACGCAGGCCGCTCCAACCTCCCTGACAACCTCAAGAAGCTGTTCCGCAGCCTCGCCATGACCAAGCCGGACCGGCAGCTCATCGCCCAGGTCATGCTGTACTCGCAGGGCTTCCGCACAGCTGAAGTCCTTGCCAACAAAATCGTCCCATTCTTTAAGTGAGTGGCCTTGGGCCGCCCGGATAAGCTGTCCCACCCATGAGGGTGCCTTTGACCTTAGCCCTTAGCTCTGGCACTCAGTGCCTGAAAAGTGCTGCTTTTAAAGAGACCCTTTCTGGTTTAGGCTCTGTGATGAACAGCTCTCCTCTCAGAGCCATTATGACTTCGGTCTGCGGGCTCTGAAGAGTGTGCTGGTGAGCGCAGGTAACGTGAAGAGGGAGCGAATCCAGAAGATCAAGAGGGAGAAGGAAGAGCGCGGGGAGGTGGTGGATGAAGGAGAGATTGCTGAGAACCTACCTGAGCAAGAGGTATGTGTGGGTGCCCTTCTGAGCGTCCTTGTGGAACATGGAGTGGTGGCCTGAGGAGGTGTGGATGGGGCAAGGTTGCCACAGGCATGTGGGAGCACGGTGTATCACGTCGCTCATGAGCTACACTTGCCTTCTGGAGCCAGGGGGGGCGGGGGCGGTGTATGAGCTGTGCCCCCGCCCTCCCACAGATTCTGATCCAAAGTGTCTGTGAGACCATGGTGCCCAAGCTGGTGGCCGAGGACATCCCTCTGCTCTTCAGTCTCCTGTCCGACGTGTTTCCGGGAGTACAGTACCACCGGGGCGAGATGACAGCCCTCCGGGAGGAGCTGAAGAAAGTCTGTCAGGAGATGTACCTGACCTACGGCGACGGAGAGGAAGTGGGCGGCATGTGGGTCGAGAAGGTAACTCGGTCAGGCGTGGATCGCTGCTCTCCCAGCCCTACTCACTACCACACAGCAGGGCTCTGCCCACGAAGGCCAGGGAGGTGTGGGATGCGGCAGGCCCATTTGGGTGCTTTTCTCTTTCTTTCCTTCTTGCTTGCTTCTTTTCTATGTGGTTCAGACTGGGCATGGACCTCATGTGGCCCAGGCTAGCCTTGAATTCTTGCTGATCTTCCTGCCTCAGTCTCCCAAGTGCTGGGATTATAGGCGTGTGCCACTGTGCATAGCTAAATTTTCCCTTGTTTTAAACAAGGAGAAAGCAAATGCTAAAATTTGTTTTACATGGTATAGTAAGTTCTCTAAAAATTCTAGTGGTGTAACTAATGGACATTTGTTTATGCCAGTAAAAATTGTACCAGCAGGACTTCCCCAGACCACAGTTTAACAACCCGACTTCCAGTGGCCCTGTGCTCAGCATTCTGTTTCTTCCCTTCCTCTGTGCAACTGCTTATGCAGCTGGGTGCATTGCCCTAGAGCACAGCTTACCCGTGTAGTCTCCTCTTGTCCATGGAGGTGACATGCCCTTGCCAAGACAACCCCATAGATGTCTCCTGTCCTGCTGCTTGTCCCCCTGGCTCACGCAGAGCCCCCCACAGTGCAGGGTATGGTCATTGTGACTTCTTTGCAGTCAAACTGTAGGACGACTGCTAAGAGTCCATAGAAAGTGCCAGGCATGGTGGTCCAGCTACTCAGGGCCTGAGGCAGGAGTCACTTTCAAGCACTACTTTGTACGCTACTTAGCAAGGCCCTATCAAACAGCCCAACAAACTGAGGGTACAGCTCAGCAGTAGAGCACTTCAGTGCAAGGCCCAGGGTTCAGTCCTCAGTACTGGAAAGAAAAACCTCCTTAGAATATGCTTGTTGCATGCTGTCGGAGGCTGAGAGCCTGCCCCCAAGATGTCCCAGTGTGGTCCTGGCCTGCAGGTTCTGCAGCTGTACCAGATCACCCAGATCAACCATGGCCTAATGATGGTGGGCCCCTCGGGCAGCGGAAAGAGCACGGCCTGGCGCGTGCTGCTGAAGGCGCTGGAGCGGCTGGAGGGCGTGGAGGGTGTGGCCCACATCATTGACCCCAAGGCCATCAGCAAAGACCACCTCTACGGCACCCTGGACCCCAACACCCGAGAGTGGACAGACGGGCTCTTCACCCACGTGCTGAGAAAGTGCGTTGGCCGGGTTGTGTCTGCACTGTGGGAACGTGGGCCTGGGTGCTGCACTCTCAGTCACTGCTGTGTGTTGTGTCCCAGCCAAAGCTCTGATGGGTTCTAATTCACTTACAAGCCATGGCAGGCAGGGCTGGTGAGCAGGATGGCTCTGGGCACAGGCCTGGCATGCACAAGGCCTGGACTCCATCCCCAGCACTGGGAAAAAGAAAGAAACTTGGTAGGGTGATCTTGATCCAGTTAACAGCTCCATTCTAATCCTCCTCCTGGCCAGGATCATAGACAACGTGAGGGGTGAGCTGCAGAAGCGCCAGTGGATCGTCTTCGACGGCGACGTGGACCCCGAGTGGGTAGAGAATCTGAACTCTGTGCTAGATGACAACAAGCTTCTGACTCTGCCAAATGGGGAGCGGCTCAGCCTTCCGCCCAACGTGAGTGCCTTCCCAGCGCAAAGCAGCACCCCCTGGCTTGGTTTCCCTTCAAGTCCCCACCTCGGTCAACTGCAGTTGGTAGAGGTTAAGTAGAAAGTTCCGGGATGCTGGTACACACAGCTCTTACAGTAGTGTGTTGTGGAGGTCCTGATGCACTGATTTCCACTGTCTTCTGTGAGGTGTGTGAGCTTCAGCTCAGAGCCAAGTGTGGGCCAAAGTAAGTGGAGCCTCGGCCTCCCAGCAACCCTGAAACCCGCACCTGCAGAGCATGTGCCAAGAGAGGGCAGGCGGTGACCATGTGGAAGGCAGCGAAGGCCGACTGTCGGGCTTGGGTCCAGAGCCCTGGAGAACTGGGGTGTCCACCCCATTGTGTAGACGCCAGGCCCAAGAAGCCCACGCTCCCGCCGGGGAGATCTCAGCCTGATCTGCCTGCCTCTCTACCAGGCTTGCTGCCCAGATCCTTGAGAAGAGAGGACCTGGGCATTGTAGAAACGTGAATTTTAGATGTTTTTGTTTTTAGACTCGGCACAGAAGGTTAAATTTAAATGGCCCTTGTGGCGTGTGGAGGTAAGAATTGTGCGGTCCAGGCTTCCGCCCTTACCTGTGTGTGATGTCTCCTTTCAAGGTGCGCATCATGTTCGAAGTGCAGGACCTGAAGTACGCAACCCTGGCCACGGTGTCACGCTGCGGCATGGTCTGGTTCAGTGAGGATGTTCTGAGCACAGACATGATCTTCAACAACTTCCTGGCCCGGCTGCGCAGCATCCCCCTGGATGAGGGGGAGGACGAGGCGCAGCGTCGGCGCAAGGGCCAGGAGGATGAGGGCGAGGAGGCCGCCTCCCCTGCACTGCAGGTATGAGGCTGTGTGATCACGTCTGCCCCACACCTGCTCCTGAGCAAGGCCCGCTATGGCAGTGTGGAGTGAAGAGGCGTTAGGGAGATCAGGGAGTCCCTTGAATCGTCTCCTTTTCTCTGCAACCTGACAAAAGACTGCCCTTGTCTTGGTCGGGTGGCGAGAACCACTTCTAGAAGGAGGGAGACTCGGCCCCTTTCCCCTGGGCCGCAGCGCCCCAGCATCCCACTGTCCATTCCCCTCCAGATACAGAGGGACGCGGCCACCATCATGCAGCCGTACTTCACGTCCAATGGCCTGGTCACCAAGGCACTGGAGCACGCCTTCCAGCTGGAGCACATCATGGACCTGACGCGCCTGCGCTGCCTGGGCTCGCTCTTCTCCATGCTGCACCAGGCCTGCCGTAACGTGGCACAGTACAATGCCAACCACCCTGACTTCCCCATGCAGATGGAGCAGCTGGAGCGCTACATCCAGGTGGGGTGAGGGCCAGGCTGGGGCGGGCGAGGCTGCAGGGCCGTGGCTATGGCTGTGGCTGGAGTGTCAGGGAAATGCTGTCTCCACCCTCTGCAGCGCTACCTGGTCTACGCCATCCTCTGGTCCCTGTCTGGAGACAGCCGGCTGAAGATGAGGGCTGAGCTGGGTGAGTACATCCGGAGAATCACCACTGTGCCACTGCCCACGGCGCCCAACATCCCCATCATCGACTACGAGGTGAGTGCCCAGCCCCCATTCAAGGACTTAGGCTGTGTTGGTATAATTCATCCTTTCCATGTCACGGGGTTGCCAGGAACTCAGGGCCTTTCCTCTGCAAAAACCAATGGGGTGACTCGCCTGCTGTCCCTGGCCGCAGGTGTCCATCAGCGGAGAGTGGTCCCCGTGGCAGGCCAAGGTGCCTCAGATCGAAGTGGAGACACACAAGGTGGCAGCCCCAGATGTGGTCGTGCCAACTCTGGATACAGTCCGGCACGAGGCCCTCCTGTACACCTGGCTAGCCGAGCACAAGCCACTGGTGCTGTGCGGCCCTCCCGGCTCAGGCAAAACCATGACGCTCTTCAGTGCACTCCGCGCCTTGCCCGACATGGAGGTAGCTGGGCTGTGGGGCTGTGGGGCTGTGGGGCAGTGGGCTGCAGGCTGCAGGCTGCAGTGCGGCCTCCCTCTTCATGGGCCTCACTTCCCGCCCGAAGGTCGTGGGCCTCAACTTCTCCAGCGCCACCACCCCAGAGCTCCTGCTGAAGACCTTTGACCACTACTGCGAGTACAGGCGCACGCCCAACGGGGTTGTCCTGGCCCCTGTGCAGCTGGGCAAGTGGCTGGTGTTGTTCTGTGACGAGATCAACCTGCCGGACATGGACAAATACGGGACGCAGAGAGTCATCTCCTTCATCAGACAGGTCTGCAGCCACCCGGCCCCCATGCTCGGTGTCTTTCCGGTCCTTGCCTCAACTCCTGACGGGCTGCTTCTCTCTCCTCAGATGGTGGAGCATGGAGGCTTTTACCGAACCTCAGACCAGACGTGGGTGAAACTGGAGCGGATCCAGTTCGTCGGGGCCTGCAACCCCCCCACCGACCCCGGAAGAAAGCCCCTCTCACACAGGTAGCGCAGCACTCTGGCCACCGTGTCACATACCCTGTGTGGCACCTTGGGTTCATCCCTGGCGCTGTAGACGGGAAGAAGGAAAAGTGCTGTGACTTACAGGGTGGTGATGCCATCCCGTTCCGTGCAGGTTCTTGCGGCATGTGCCTGTGGTTTACGTGGACTACCCGGGGCCCGCCTCCCTGACACAGATCTATGGCACCTTCAACCGCGCCATGCTGAGGCTCATCCCGTCGCTGCGGACCTATGCAGAGCCGCTCACTGCCGCCATGGTGGAGTTTTACACCATGTCCCAGGTGCGGGTGCCAGGCCAGGCCACCTGGGCTGGGTGCACCTCACACAGGGCACTGTGTGTGTCACTCAGGCCACGCATGTGATGGCTGCATGTTTGCCCATTGCTCAAAGGTGCCATCCCTGCCGGATGTGGTAACCTGTGCCTGTAATTCCAGCTCTGTGGAGCCTGAAACAGAAGGGTCTCGGCTTTGCGCCAAGCTACACTCCTGCCCTTATTAGGGTCTCGCTAAGCTACCCATGTTGGGTGACTTGCAGTCCTGCCTCAGTCTCAGCGCTAGGAATGTAGGTGCGCACCACCACACCTGGCTCTTTGTCTTTAGTATAAAATATTTCACAGTACCACTGGCGACTTCTCCGCATCTTAAGGTATGTGTTGCCAATTGCTGTTTTCTCTCTCGCACAGGAGCGATTCACTCAGGACACACAGCCCCACTATATCTATTCACCCCGTGAGATGACCAGGTGGGTGAGAGGAATCTTCGAAGCCCTGAGGCCCCTGGAGACGCTGCCTGTGGAGGGCCTCATCCGGATCTGGGCACACGAAGCCCTCCGTCTGTTCCAGGACAGGTGAGGGTGGCCAGGCCTTGCTGTTCCCGCTGTCCCTGGCAGGGCAGCCATGGTGGCCTCACCAGAGCACTCTGCCCCACACTCTGCTCTCAAGGACTGGCAGCTTGAGCTGGCCACTAGCTTTTCCTTCCTGTGGCCACTTGGCCCTGTCGTGCCTTGGAGTTTAAGTACCCAGAGCTGCAGGACAGGTGCTGGTGGCCGGAGGGTCAGAACCACTTGGTGCTTTGCTAGTTGAGTTGTAGCAGGGCCTTTACCTGTCAGCATCTAAAATCCTTCATCTGTGTGACCAGGGCCTTTGTCTCACATTCAGTACAGTCTTCACCCATCTCCCTCCCTCTCTCCTGTCCTTCTTTTCCTTCCTTTCTTTTATCTTATTTTGAGACAGTGTCTCACTAAGTTGTCCAGGCTAGCCTTGAACTTATAGCCCTCCTGCCTCAGCCTCCCAAGTATCTGGGATTACAAGCATGGGCCACCAGGCCTGGTTTGGTCTATTGGTTTTTTTACTTCTTTTTCTTGGTTTTTAATTTCAAGTGTTTTTGTTTTGTTTTGTTCTGTTTTAACTACTGGGGATCAAACTCGAGACCTTGCACTCACGAGACAGGCACACTGCCACTGAGCTAAATCCCCAGCCTGTCATGTATTTTAGTATTAGGGTCCCTTGTTATATTGTGCGCTCATTTTTCTCTTCACGAGAAGTAAAGTTTGTGCGCCTTAACTGTGGAGTTTGAGTACGCGATGCATCCTAACTGATTAACTGTCGAATTGGGCGAAGCCAAGGAGGGCTCTAAGGCTGGCAGGTAGAGGGGTGGTCTCTGGAGATGCCTCGCTCGACTTCCCGGGTCTGCATTGTCTGGGTCTGGACTGGCAAGGACCGATGGCATGCGCAGTGGTCTCTGGGGCTGCCCCTTCCCCCTCCCCCTCTCTCTCTGCGCCCTTTGGAGTCTCACTTCCGCCCCCTTGAGGTGGGCAAGGGTTGAGGACACTGGCCCCTTGCTTCCTGCACTGGGCTTCTGCTGCTGGGATGTCTTTGTTGTCCTTAGGACAGTTCCTTTCGCTTGCTCGCCCTCTTTAATGAAAAAAACAAACATCTAATAGTCACAGACTTCCCCTAACACCAGAGAGATGATTTTGGCTGGGGGTGCACCAGGCATCCTACTCAGGACCTTCTTGTGAGACAGGTGGCAGTACCACTGAGATAAATCTCTCGCCTGAGAAATGTCTGTTTATTTTGAAATTTTTGGTGTAGATTTGAGCAGAGCAGTAGCCCTCAGCCACACACTCCAGCCCCACCTCGTCACTACCCTGCCCTTGTGCTTCCCTGTCTTTGTCCTCTCCACGCCTCCGTAATACTGGGAGCATTTCTTTTTAGCAAGTTCAGAAACCAGATTCAGGCCCAGCATGTGGCTTGCACCTGTGGTTCCAGCACTAGGAGGCTGCTGGCCTGAGTCAGCTGCTGGCCCTCACCCGCTACCGTGCCTCCCGCAGGCTGGTGGAGGATGAAGAGCGGCGCTGGACAGACGAGAATATCGACATGGTGGCTCTGAAGCACTTCCCCAACATAGACAAGGAGAAGGCCATGAGCCGGCCCATCCTGTACAGCAACTGGCTGTCCAAGGTGAGGCCCGAGCCACTGCTCTCGCACTCCACCCTCCACCCAGCGCTCCCCAGACCTGTGGCTCCAGAACGAAGTGTGCTGTCAAGGGAGCTTGGGCGTGTGTCACTTCCCCACAAAGGAGCTCTGGCTCTACTTGGGAGGCTGCAGCGTGTAGCCATGGGGGACACTGCCTTCACTCTCCTCACATCAAAACTGGGGCAGCTGTGATGGTCAGTTGGTGTGAAGTCCCATTCTGAAATGCTGAGTGGAGCCCCGGCCGTGGCACATACCATGCTGGAGATGCTGGAGATGAGGGACAGAAGGCGTCACTTTCATTAACAGACATGACCTGTGCCAGTGACAGCAAACCTCATGGAGCTTTCAGGGATATAAATAGCCCACCGCAGCTTGCGGGGTCCTTGGCCACCACTGGCCTGCATGCTGTGTCAGATTCAAGTGCTGGCAGGGAATCATCTGAGCACTGAATCAAAGGCCAGTCCACAAGGCCCTGCCGCTGAATGGAGGAAGTCCCTTCTCAGGGAGAGCAAGGCTGGCAGAGGGGCTGGCAGCAGCCAGAAACAGCGAGGTAGGCCAGCTCCTCACCACCTCTGCGCTGCCAGGACGCCCTTCCCTGTGGTGGTCTTGGCGCTGCCTATCCACTTCCTGTTGCCAGGGTTGGAGCCCAAGGACTCACCCCACTCCACCCCGCTAAGCAGCCACTCTGCCGCTGAGCCACATCCCACCCTCAATGGATCTTTAGCATTTTGGCCCCACCCCACCCAAGTCTCCAGCAGTGAGCTGTGGAGCTGTCCTGCTGTCCCCAGCTGGGGTGGGTGCTGAACCTTGTGGTCCTGGTGACAGTCACAGTCTGGGTGGGAATCCTGCACCTACACTCAGGTCTGGACCGTGCGCAGCCCTCCATCCCCCCAGAGGGCTGGGGAGCACATGGACTCTGGCAGGATGGGCCTCTGCATGGTGTGCGCTTCGCTCCAGGGTCATGCGCTCCTCTCTGCACATTTGGTGAAGTTTAGTTTACTGAGAATCAAACCTCAGACTTTGTGCTTCCAAGGCAGGCACAGTGCCACTGAGCTACACCCCAGCCTGTAAAGTTGTTTTATCTATGGCTCCAAATATACAAGTTAAATAGAAATGCACACAAAAGCACAAGTTTTAGGCAACTTTCTTTTTTGGCAACTTTAATGTTTGCTGCTGCATTTTAAAAGGGATTTTTCATTGCTTTCTTCAGCAATTTCTTTGTAGTGTGAGGGGCTATAGTTGATGTGGCAGTTTGGATTGTCACTTTTCCTCTACAGGATTACATCCCAGTAGACCAAGAGGAATTGAGAGATTATGTCAAGGCAAGGCTGAAAGTCTTCTACGAAGAAGAACTTGATGTCCCACTGGTTCTGTTCAATGAGGTGCTGGACCATGTGCTCAGGATCGACAGGTGAGCCTGTGCCCTCGCTGCTCCTGGCCCAGAGCCCGGCTCGCGCCGCTGGCCAGAGCCGGGCGCTCTCTTCATTCTTCCTGAGTCCAGAGCAGCCAGACCATGTCTTGCTGCTGTTTGCATCCCCACTGGATTTGGCAAATAATTGCCAGATGGCGTTTAGTGTACAAGTTCAGATGTATCTCAAAATACTGTAGTTTCGGTACTAAAACAGTTTAGGACATGTCAGGGAAATGAGGCACATGAGCCTTGACATTTATCCAATTGTGTTCCAGAATATTCCGCCAGCCTCAAGGCCACTTGCTTCTGATCGGTGTGAGCGGAGCGGGAAAGACCACCCTGTCTCGCTTCGTGGCTTGGATGAATGGCTTGAGTGTGTACCAGATCAAGGTGGGTGTGTGCAGACCCTGTTTCCTACTGAGCGGGCGCGAGTGGGGCCTAACCCAGCTACCTCCGCAGGTGCACAGGAAGTACACTGGGGAGGACTTTGACGAAGACCTGCGGACAGTGCTGAGACGCTCCGGCTGCAAGAATGAGAAGATTGCGTTCATAATGGATGAGTCCAATGTTTTGGACTCTGGGTTCCTGGAGCGGATGAACACTCTCCTGGCGAACGGAGAGGTGAGTAGCAGCGGGCCGTGTGGTGATTTGTGTCTGCCGGTGGCGCGTTGTGAGGCCTAGGTGTCACTGCCAAGTTATTTCCCCAGGTCCCCGGGCTCTTCGAAGGAGACGAGTATGCCACCCTGATGACGCAGTGCAAGGAGGGGGCACAGAAGGAGGGCCTCATGCTGGACTCCCATGAGGAGCTGTACAAGTGGTTCACCAGCCAGGTCATCCGCAACCTGCACGTCGTGTTCACCATGAACCCGTCTTCCGAGGGGCTCAAGGACCGGGCGGCCACGTCGCCTGCCCTCTTCAACAGGTGCGCTGGTCCTGGACCACAGCTCCCCACCCAGGGTGACCACACCTGGTGGCGGCCCTCAGGTTGACATCTTCCTCAGGTGTGTGCTGAATTGGTTTGGAGACTGGTCCACGGAAGCCCTGTATCAAGTCGGCAAAGAATTCACAAGTAAGATGGACCTGGAGAAGCCGAATTACGCCGTGCCCGATTACATGCCGGTGGTGTACGACAAGCTGCCTCAGCCACCATCGCACCGTGAAGCGATTGTGAACAGCTGTGTGTTCGTCCATCAGACACTTCACCAGGTGGGTTCAGTGATGGATTAGGGCACAGGAAGCGAGTTTGTTGTCCTGCTGGGCTAAGTAAACATGGATCTCAGGCTTCTCGTTGATGTCACACTGCCCTGCCCATGGGCTCTGCCTCTGCAGAGCTGTCCTCTCCTTCCTCCTCATCCCTGCCGCTCTGTGTCCAGGCTCCCCTTGCCCTACGGACCAGGAGGCATCAGGGACCACATCAACACACAAGGTGTGGCCAAGGCTTCCTTACAGAGCCGTGAAGCCCACAGGCTTTGCCTGCTGGCTTCAGCTGCTGACCCTTTCCTTACCCTGAATCCTGGGCTGCACAAGTCCAGGCTGCTCCTGTCTGCTGGGAACGCTGTGTGAAACCTGCAGGGGCCTATGTGAGCTTGCAGACAGCCAGGCTGCCCTCACACACGTCCTGACTTCTGGGCTGGCCTGAGTCCAGGGAGGTGAGGCGGGGCCTCTCTGAGTCTGCCCATTGCGTCGGGGAGAGTGAAAGCTTTTAACTTTCCCTTGCACAAGGCCAATGCCCGGCTAGCCAAACGGGGAGGCAGGACAATGGCCATCACCCCTCGCCACTACCTAGACTTCATCAACCACTACGCCAACCTCTTCCATGAGAAGCGCAGTGAGCTGGAGGAGCAGCAGATGCACCTGAACGTTGGGCTCAGGAAGATCAAGGAAACTGTCGACCAGGTGGGGTGCGGGCTGGCCTCGCCCCTCGGGGTGGTGGGCTGTGGGGAGGACGCTTGGGCCCTACGTTCCCGGTCTGGGTTCTGTGCCTAGGTGGAAGAGCTGCGCCGAGACTTGAGGATAAAGAGCCAGGAGCTGGAGGTGAAGAATGCCGCGGCCAATGACAAGCTGAAAAAGATGGTGAAAGACCAACAGGAGGCCGAGAAGAAGAAGGTACTTCCTCTCCCTCCAGGGGCCATCTTGGGCCAGCTCAGGTTCCAGTGAAAGTGGGAACTTTGCTTGGAAATGGGCGTCAGGGCCACTGGGACCCATGTGCCCTTGTGCGTGGACTCGCATGTGTGGCAGGACTGAGTCATGCAGCATGTTCACACGGAGCCTAGACACCCCTGAGCCGCTTTCCTTCCTAGGTCATGAGCCAGGAAATCCAGGAGCAGCTCCACAAGCAGCAGGAAGTGATTGCAGACAAGCAGATGAGCGTCAAGGAGGACCTGGACAAGGTGGAGCCCGCCGTCATCGAGGCACAGAATGGTAGGTCCTGCCGGGCGTGCTGCACCCTGCTCTCCTGCACTCAGGGGCTGAGGCCAGCCAGACTGCGCATATCACCAAGCACCTTTAAAGGCATGCTTACAGCACTGCCTCGGCCCACAAACTCCGTTCTCTCCATGACTCTGGACACTGACTGAATTGTACAAGAGCCGGATCAGATTTCCCCACAAGGTCAACATTGAACCTAACCCTTGAACTTGACGGAGTTCTCGTCCATTTGGAGTTGTGACCAGGGTCGTGGACAGAATTCAGGTCACATGCTGCACAGAAGTGCTGATGACCCTCCCTGCTCAGCAATTTCTGAGCGTTCAGGCTGTGGCCAGGGTTAGGAGCGGCCTCTGAGTTACCGCTGTCTGCCTGCAGTCCCCGGGGGCGCGGGTCCCTTGCACTGCGCCCCACCTTGGTCACTGTGTCTGTGTCCACATCCCAGAGACACCACCAGAGACAAGGCTATTCCTTGTTCACGTGGATCTGGGTGAGGACTTCATTTTGCGCTCCCTTGCTGAGTAACTACTTCACCTGTGTCTTACTAAAATGTCAAGCTAGAAAACTGCATCTCAGGGTTTGGGTTTGGTTTTGGGTTTTGGCTTTTGGTTTTTTGAGACAGGGTCTCACTATGTAATTGAGACTGACCTGGAATTCACTATGTAGCCCAGGTGGATCTCGAACTCAGTGATCCTGCTGCCTCAGCCTCCTGAGTGCTGGGATTACAGGCATGTGCCACCATGCCTGGCTGCATTTCAGGGTTTGAGAGAGTATAAAAGGCATTGGAAATGGCTTTTGGTTTTGAGACAGGGTCTCACTATGTAATTGAGACTGACCTGGAATTCACTATGTAGCCCAGGTGGATCTCGAACTCAGTGATCCTGCTGCCTCAGCCTCCTGAGTGCTGGGATTACAGGCATGTGCCACCATGCCTGGCTGCATTTCAGGGTTTGAGAGAGTATAAAAGGCATTGGAATTTTTTGTTTTGTGGTGTGGAGACTGAACCCAGGGCCTTTGCACTAAGCTGCATTCTCAGCCCTGTTCTTACGTTGAGAAAAAGGGCCTTGCTGAGTTCCCAGGCAGTGACACCCTGCTCCGGGCGTCTGGAGTTGGGCTGGGTACAGCCAGGTGCTGCCAGCTATTTCCAGAACATGCGGCTCCCACTTTCCCTGGCGGGGCCCAGCCCAACTAGCGGCTCCTTCTCACCTGCCCCTCCCCACCTGCCACCACCAGCCGTCAAGTCCATCAAGAAACAGCACCTGGTGGAGGTGCGGTCCATGGCCAACCCACCCGCCGCTGTGAAGCTGGCGCTCGAGTCCATCTGCCTGCTGCTGGGCGAGAGCACCACAGACTGGAAGCAGATCCGCTCCATCATCATGCGCGAGAACTTCATCCCCACCATCGTCAACTTCTCCGCTGAGGAGATCAGGTGGGGAACAGTGGGCCAGCCACGTCCTCAGGGAGGGAGCACCCCGTGGTGCTTTCCTGCTGTCTCCCCCAGCAGCACCAGTGCCCATATCCTGTCCTCTCAACCCTGAGTAGCTGTGGGTGCCGTGAGGGTGTCACTCTTGCCTGAGGTTGGACTCAGGACCGCCACCTGCTTCCCCAGCCTGGCCCGAGAGTCTGTCCCTGATTGGCAGCTTTGTCCCCTGCAAGCCTGGCTTGTCCCAGCATCACTGGAGCAGCGAGATGGGAGCTGGGCCCTTCTGTGTCACTGGCTTCTTGAAAATGCCTTTGTCCTGTGCATGTTCAGAGGTAAAATTCCACCCTCACAGTGATGCCATAAGGGAGAAAATGAAGAAAAACTACATGTCCAATCCCAGCTACAACTATGAGATTGTGAACCGGGCTTCGCTGGCCTGTGGCCCCATGGTGAAGTGGGCCATCGCACAGGTAAGCCAGGGCCAGGCGCTCCCTGCAGCGCCGACCCTGCCTGTCCCGTCCCGTAACACCTGCCCGCTCACCCCTCACAGCTGAACTATGCCGACATGCTCAAGCGCGTGGAGCCCCTGCGGAACGAGCTGCAGAAGCTGGAGGACGACGCCAAGGACAACCAGCAGAAGGCCAACGAGGTGGAGCAGATGATCCGCGACCTGGAGGCCAGCATCGCGCGCTACAAGGAGGAGTACGCTGTGCTCATCTCGGAGGCCCAGGCCATCAAGGCCGACCTAGCAGCTGTAGAAGCAAAGGTGTGTAGGCCCTGGGTCTATGGCCGGGCTGTGGCGGTGGGCTCAGGGGCCCTGGGTATGTGCAGGCAGGGTCTGCGGGTAGGCAGATGCCGCCACCCCTCCATCTGTCCCTGCCTCGTGGGACCCCTTGCCAGTGCCTCCTGTCCACTTCTGTCCCTTCTCCTGACATGTCCCCACAATGTTCCCCTCCAGGCGTCACCTGCTGCTCTCACCCCAGGCCCTTTCTCCCTGGGTCGAAGCGTACACCTCAGGTCTGAATATCGGTGCCCTGCCTCCTCCCTTGGCCGCGCTGACCCTGGGTGTCTTCCCTTGGCTTCTCCTCCCAGGTGAACCGCAGCACTGCTCTTCTCAAGAGTCTGTCAGCTGAGCGGGAGAGGTGGGAGAAGACAAGCGAGACCTTCAAGAACCAGATGTCCACCATTGCCGGGGACTGCCTGCTGTCCGCTGCCTTCATTGCCTACGCTGGCTACTTCGACCAGCAGATGAGGCAGAACTTGTTCACCACCTGGTCGCACCACCTGCAGCAGGCCAACATCCAGGTGGATGGGCCAGGGCCAGGGTGAAGGGACGGTGGGCACAGTGGGCCAGGGCACAGGGCTGACCAGCCGCACCCTCAGTTCCGCACAGACATCGCGAGGACCGAGTACCTGTCCAACGCCGACGAGAGACTACGCTGGCAGGCCAGCTCCCTGCCCGCCGACGACCTGTGCACGGAAAACGCCATCATGCTGAAGCGCTTCAACAGGTGCACACCGGGGCCCAGTGGGGTCTCTGCTCAGCCCAGACAGGTGTGGTGGCACCACCCTGTAGTCCCCCCACATGAGAGGCAGAAGCAGGCAGATTGCTTGAGCTGTAGCTTGAGAACCTGTGTCAAAAAAGCCAAGTGTTAGTGTTCATCTCTAATAGTCGGGGAGGCCTTACTGCAGGTTAAACTGAGGTTTTCGCACTGAGCTACCTCAGCAGCCCTTTAAGATCATCTTAGTCTTGTTAAGTTGCCTGGGTTGATCTTGAACTTGCGATCCTCCTGCCTCAGCCTCCCAGAATCTGGTCTTGTGGATATGTGCCACTCGTCCCAGCTCTTCTCACATTTTGCTTGTCTGAGTTGTTCTGTGATAGGTCTGTCTTACAGTCTTTTCTTTCTTTTCTCTTTTGTACTGGGGAGCAAACCCAGGGCTACACACATGCTAGGCAAGCAGTTGCCAATGAGTTACCCAATGTTCATGTGACCTCACAAGATGGGTTGGATGCATGTTAAGACAGTCCCAATCTTGAAATACTACTGGCAGCAGCACTGTTTCACAGGGCTGTAAACCCCAGTGCTGTGGAAGGCTGAAACAGAAGGATTGCAAGTTCAAACTCAACCTGGGCAATTCATCAAGGCCCTGCCTCAAAATAGAGCTGAGGGTATAGCTCAGTGCAAAAGCCCTTAGTTCTTTCCCCATTGCCACAAAAAACAAAAAATGCTATGGTGTCTCACCGGCGGGGCCACAACTGCCTGTGTTCTGTGCTGGTGGCTGGGCTGCAGGTCACCTCGCCCTGGGAGCTGGGCCTCCCCTGTGCAGCACCTGGGCTCAGTTCCCTCTGGTCTCTAAGACACACTCCTGGGCCTTTTGTGACCTCATCCACACCCCTACATCTTTCCCAGACACTGGCTATGTGGCAGTGTCTGGGGGCAGAAACACAAGACTTGCTAGCCTCCACTCCAGGTCACAAGCTGACCCTCTCCCTGGCCAGGCAGTGCTGACAAGGACGCTGGAGGCTGCTGCTTCGCCGGTTGCTTCTGCCCCTAGTGTCACTCAGCAGTAGACTGGCACATGGGAAGTGACAGATTCTAGACTCCATGGGTCCTACAGCAGAGGCCCAGGAGGGGCAACAGACAGACACGGCCATGGGTTCCCACTACAGTGGGCCAGGCAGGGCTTGAGGCAACAGGTATGGCAGTCAGTGGGGTGTGTGCTCCCTGTGGACTCAGCAGCTGTCCCTTGGGGCGGGCAGGGAGGGGTCTCTGTGCTCCCCACCTCCTCATGCTTGGGGGGGCTCTGTGACCGCTGGAGCCCAGGAAGGCAGCACAGAGCAGGCTGTCAGGGGAAGGACGAGGTGTGAAGATGCAGCCCCAGGAGGAGGAGGGTTAAGGGCATCTGTGCTGGCAGGTGACCAGTCGGGCATGGCTTGGTCTGTGGTGCTGCATATGATGTGCTCCGGCCTCCCCACAGGTACCCACTGATCATCGACCCCTCTGGCCAGGCCACGGAGTTCATCATGAACGAGTACAAGGACCGGAAGATCACACGCACCAGCTTCTTGGATGACGCCTTCAGGAAGAACCTGGAGAGCGCGCTGCGGTTCGGCAACCCGCTCTTGGTCCAGGTGGGTGTCCTTCAGACCGGCACGGAGGCTGAGGCCCTCAGACACGGCGGATGCGCGGTAAAACTGCACTGCCTGGTGCAGACACTGGTGATGGGAGCCATTGGACCCTTGATGTCAGAGCAGCCTGTGCAGCCCAGCCAGGCATGGCAGCGCAACCTTAGAACCCGTCACTCCAGAGGCTGAGGCAGAAGGGTTGCTTAATGTTCAAGCCCAGCCCTGCCTAGGCTACATAGTGAAACCTTGTGTTAGAAAAGCTTAAAAGGGGCTTGCAATGAGCTCAGTGCAAAGTCCCTGGGTTCAGTTCTTAGTGTCACTAACAAAAGCAGTGTTTGCATTTAAAATTCCCCTTAGAGGAGGGTCTGGGTCAGCACTGTGTAGTTTGCGCAGAGGGACGTGTCTTACGGGGCAGCTGCCGCTTCCTGTGTGAGCAGGAGGGTCCCGGCGCTCTGCCGCAGGCTGCACCCACCAGGCAGCCCTGCTGGCCTTTGGCCTCTGCTCAGCCACCATGCTCGTCTGGGCAGGAGGGGCATCCGGGCACTGTGCCCGGGAAGCCGCTCGCAGTACGCTGACCCAGGTGTGCGCGGCGCACTGTGCAGGATGTGGAGAGCTACGATCCGGTTCTGAACCCGGTGCTGAACCGTGAAGTCCGACGGACAGGGGGCCGCGTGCTGATCACCCTCGGGGACCAGGACATCGACCTGTCTCCGTCCTTCGTTATCTTCCTGTCCACCCGAGACCCGACCGTAAGCCCAGGCTGCGGGGCAGGAGTGAGGTGCGGCTCTGCAGGGTGGATACCTCACCCTGACTGGAGCATCGCCTGCCCGTGCAGGTGGAGTTCCCACCCGACCTGTGCTCCCGCGTCACCTTCGTCAACTTCACTGTCACGCGCAGCAGCTTGCAGAGCCAGTGTCTCAACGAGGTCCTAAAGGCAGAGAGGCCCGACGTGGACGAGAAACGCTCAGATCTTCTCAAGCTGCAAGGTGCGGCAGGCAGGATGTGGGTGGGTGGGCAGTGGAAGGGGCGACATCATGTTCAAGTGGCCACACTTTGGCCTCCCAGGGGAGTTTCAGCTCCGCCTGCGTCAGCTCGAGAAGTCCCTGCTGCAAGCCCTGAACGAGGTGAAGGGCCGCATCCTGGACGATGACACCATCATCGGCACCCTGGAGAACTTGAAGCGGGAGGCCGCCGAGGTCACCAGGAAGGTGGAGGAGACCGACGTTGTCATGCAGGAGGTGGAGACCGTGTCCCAGCAGTACCTGCCACTGTCCACCGCCTGTAGCAGCATCTACTTCACCATGGAGTCCCTCAAGCAGGTGAGGCCTGGGCCGTGGGGGGGAGCGCACATCCTGCGGCGGGTGGGTGGGCGGGCTCTGATGTGCATGCTCAGGTCCACTTCCTGTACCAGTACTCGCTGCAGTTCTTCCTGGACATCTACCACAACGTCCTGTATGAGAACCCCAGCCTCCGGGGCGTCACAGACCACACGCAGCGCCTCTCTGCCATCACCAAGGACCTCTTCCAGGTGGGGTGCAGTGGCTGAGGTGGGGGGGTGGCAGGGCAGGGCGAGCCACACTGACCCTCTCCCACCCCAGGTGGCATTTAACCGAGTGGCCAGGGGCATGCTGCATCAGGACCACATCACCTTTGCCATGCTGCTGGCCAGGATCAAGCTGAAGGGCACCGTGGGGTAAGGCCACACACCACCCACCGCGTTTCTGTAAATGATGCCAGGGCTGCGGTCGCAGTGCCGAGTGCCCTTGCCCACCTGAGCCCCTCACAGGGAGCCCACCCACGACGCCGAGTTCCAGCACTTCCTGAGGGGCAAGGAGATCGTGCTGAGTGCTGGCTCCACTCCCACCATCCCGGGGCTGACACTGGAGCAGGCGGAGGCGGTGGCGCGGCTGAGCTGCTTGCCCGCATTCAAGGATCTGATCGCCAAGGTTCAGGCGGACGAGGTGACTGTCCTGTGCATGGCCCCATGTCCTAGTGTGTAGCAAGGCCCTGGCCGAGTTGGTGTGTTCTCCTGACACATAGCTCAGGGCCAGAAGGGCTCCGAGGTCCGTGCTGACGTGGCACAAGTCAGCTGCATCTCCTGGTGACTTTTCCTGTGTCATCTCCACAGCAGTTCGGCATCTGGCTGGACAGCAGCTCCCCCGAGCAGACCGTACCGTACCTCTGGAGCGAGGAGGCCCCCACAAGTGAGTCATGCCTGCGTGTGAAGTGGGTTTGCTGCGCTGGGGGTCAAATGCAGGACCTTGTGCTTTTGAGGCAGGCGTAGTGCTACTGAGCTACACCCCCGGGCCCAGAGTTAAATATTTTTTGAAAGGACTGGTTATAACTTGGTACAAAAGTGCTACCAAAAAAAATGACATTTCTATAAAGTCACCAGTTCTCAAGGTGACTATTCACTGTGGGATTTTTTAAGAAAGTGGCTCCTACGAAGAGTTGGCCTAGAAGTAGGAAATGACCATACATGGTGGTGACACATGCCAGCACTTGGGAGGCCGATGCAGGAGGGTATGAGTGCAGGTGGTAGGTGCTGCCTGGTTCCATAGCTCCACCTGGGGAGGGGTGCGTTGCCATCCCAGGGGCCTGGACAGGTTTTCCCGGGGCCTTCTGCGGCATCTGGGACCAACCGGAGGCTGAGCTGGGCCCCTCCTTTCAGCACCCATTGGCCAGGCCATCCACCGCCTGCTGCTCATCCAGGCCTTCCGGCCGGACCGCCTGCTGGCCATGGCCCATGTGTTCGTCTCCACCAACCTCGGGGAGTCCTTCATGTCCATCATGGAGCAGCCGCTTGACCTGGCACACATTGTGGGCACGGAGGTGAGCCCCGGCCAGGATGGCGGGGGGACGGGGATCCCTGCACTTGCCCTGGGGACGCGCTCACTGTGCCTCTGCCTATGCAGGTGAAGCCCAACACGCCCGTCCTGATGTGCTCGGTGCCTGGCTATGACGCCAGCGGGCACGTGGAGGACCTTGCGGCAGAGCAGAACACACAGATCACCTCCATCGCCATCGGTGAGGGCCTGGCCGGGCTCAGGTGGGGGTGAGCCTGTGGGCCCCGGTGCGAGGCTGACACTGTGCCTCCTCATCCCAGGCTCAGCGGAAGGCTTTAACCAAGCAGATAAGGCCATCAACACAGCTGTGAAGTCCGGCAGGTAGGCCAGGGGGTCCAGCCTGTCCCGGGCTCCCCGCCGAGGCACAGTAGCTAAGGCCCCCCCTCGCGCAGGTGGGTGATGCTGAAGAACGTGCACTTGGCCCCCGGCTGGCTCATGCAGCTGGAGAAGAAGCTGCACTCCCTGCAGCCACACGCCTGCTTCCGCCTCTTCCTCACCATGGAGATCAACCCCAAGGTGAGTGCAGAGGCCAGCGGGAACCCGAGCAGGCGGGCGGGGTTGCAACTCCCGGGCCCAACAGCACCATCCTACTCCAGGTGCCCGTGAACCTGCTCCGCGCCGGCCGCATCTTCGTGTTTGAGCCACCACCGGGGGTGAAGGCCAACATGCTTCGGACATTCAGCAGCATCCCCGTGTCACGGATCTGCAAGGTAACCGTTTGTGTGCCGGGCAGGTCCTGGGCCAGCCAGTCGCCGGGTCCTCCTCCTCGCGAGCAGCACCATCATGGTGAAGGCGTGGGTCCCTCTTGCCTTTGAGGGCAGGCAGTTTCTTCCTGGTGAGGTGCCCGTGGAGGACCCACAGAAAAGCCACCAGAGCTGTGTCCCAGCATGGAGCCCCAACAGAGGGTGCCAGGCAGGTGGGGGCTGAGGCGAGAGTCCTATCCATTAGCGCTTCCTGCACCTCGATACCTCACTGGGCGTCGTGATCTGCAGCAGCGGCTCCTGCGTCCCATCTTGCTGGCCGGGTGATGCCAGCTGCCACGTTACTGAGAACATGGCTGCGTGCCCTCCCCAGCAGCCACCTCCGCCTTGCTCGGCCGCTCCTGTGCCCAGGGGCTTTGAGCTCAGGGCCAGCGTGTGTGTGTGTGGCCACTGTGCACCAGTGCTACTGCCACGCCAGTGCCACAGCCCCGGGCAGCGCACCGCTCTCCTTAACTGTGCTATTGGTCCCTCCCTGTCCAGTCTCCCAACGAGCGAGCCCGCCTGTACTTCCTGCTGGCCTGGTTCCACGCCATCATCCAGGAGCGCCTGCGCTATGCCCCGCTGGGGTGGTCCAAGAAGTACGAGTTCGGGGAGTCAGACCTGCGGTCCGCCTGCGACACTGTGGACACGTGGCTGGATGACACGGCCAAGGCAAGCAGCAGCGCTCAACCCCAGGGGAGCATGCAGAGGGGCGGGCAGGGGACGGGGTGCTGCTGCCCTAGGTGGGGTGCCTGGCCGCAGCTATGTGACACCTGCCTCCCAGGGCCGGCAGAACATCTCACCTGATAAGATCCCATGGGCGGCCCTGAAGACCCTGATGGCCCAGTCCATCTATGGCGGCCGCGTGGACAATGAGTTCGACCAGCGGCTGCTCAGCACCTTCCTGGAGCGCCTGTTCACCACCCGGAGCTTCGACAGCGAATTCAAGCTGGCGTGCAAGGTGGACGGGCACAAGGACATTCAGATGCCCGACGGCATCAGGTGCCCTGGAGGCCACTCGGCTGAGATGGGACAGAAGGGGAGGGGGAGCTGGCCACAGCCCCAGGCCACCCCTGACCAGCTTCCCGCCACTTCCCAGGCGAGAGGAGTTTGTGCAGTGGGTGGAGCTGCTCCCCGACACCCAGACACCGTCCTGGCTGGGGCTGCCCAACAACGCCGAGCGTGTGCTGCTGACCACGCAAGGTAGGTGCCCATCTGCGTCTGCCCAGCTGTGGCGGACCAGAGGAAGCACCTGCTACTCTGGCAGCGAGGCTGGGGGTACCTGAGCGGAGCTGCCTTCCCAGGCCACAGGGCAGGGTAGAGCAGGTGCCACCAGCAGGGGGAGCTCGGGCACCGTCAGGCTGGCACAGTCCACTGTCCTGGCCGCTCCGGTGGGTCCCAGGGAAGGCACAGGGGCACAGACAAGGGCGGGAGCGCCCCCTCCTGGGCCTGCACTGCCTCCTCTGTCCCCTCTCCTGAGCACTTCACCCCTCCGCCCGCAGGCGTGGATATGATCAGCAAGATGCTGAAGATGCAGGTGCTGGAGGATGAGGACGACCTGGCCTACGCGGAGACAGAGAAGAAGGCGCGCACTGACTCCACATCCGATGGGCGCCCAGCCTGGATGCGGACACTGCACACCACCGTCTCCAACTGGCTGCACCTCATCCCACAGGTGCTGAGCCACCTCAAGCGCACGGTGGAGAACATCAAGGTACCAGCGTGGAGCAGGGTGGAAATCGGCTTGGCCCCAGGCCCTCAGGTGGAGCAACATTCCCCCCTTTCTCTATTTCTCTTTTGTCTGGTAGAGCTTGAACTCAGGACCTTGCACTTGCAAGAAATGCGCGCTGCCACTGAGCTAAATCCCCGGCCCACCTCTTGTTTTTATCTCGATGCAGGATCTCTCCAAGTTACTTAGATTCAAATTTAGAGATTTCCTGCCTCAGCCTCCCACAGTGCTGGGATTAAAGGTCCTCACCACCACACCCATCTGAGTGACCCTCTTAAACAGCTTTCTAGGGGCAGCAGCAGCCCTTCCTCGAGGCTGCCAGCCAACTGGGCCACACCACTCCCTCTGCAGCAGGGCAGTTGTGCTCTGGGCGGCCAAGTCCAAGGTTGCCAGGCTCCCCCACTGGTTTCCTACCCCTCACTGCTGCTCTTCCTGCCACACTAGGACCCTCTGTTCAGGTTCTTTGAGAGAGAGGTGAAGATGGGCGCCAAGCTGCTGCAGGACGTGCGCCAGGACCTTGCCGACGTGGTGCAGGTGTGTGAGGGAAAGAAGAAGCAGACCAACTACCTGCGCACACTCATCAACGCGCTGGTCAAAGGTGCGCCGCCGCCCGCGCTCCCCACCCAGCCCTCTGCCCTCTGCCCTCTGAGGCCCCGTCCCTGTTGCTGTGGCCAGGAGCCCCAAGCAGCTCCCTGGGGCCAGCAGCACTGTGCCTGCTCGGTCCTGCCTGCGGGTCGGGATGGGCACCAGCCCAGCCGGTCTCGCTTCCCCGCACAGGCATCCTGCCCCAGAGCTGGTCGCACTACACCGTGCCCGCCGGCATGACCGTCATCCAGTGGGTGTCCGACTTCAGCGACCGTATCAAGCAGCTGCAGAGCATCTCTCTGGCGGCTGCGTCAGGCGGCGCCAAGGAGCTCAAGGTTGGCAGGCAGCTTGGGTCTCAGGCTGGGCCACACGGCCTCGCTGCCCTTGGCCCGCCTGACGTGGCTGCCCTGCCTCCCACAGAACATCCACGTGTGCCTGGGCGGCCTGTTCGTGCCTGAGGCCTACATCACGGCCACTAGGCAGTACGTGGCCCAGGCCAACAGCTGGTCCCTGGAGGAGCTGTGCCTGGAGGTCAACGTCACCACTGCCCAGAGCGCCGCCCTGGATGCCTGCAGCTTCGGAGTCACTGGTGAGCCGAGGGCCCACTCCCAAGTGCCCACTGGGGGCTTGTGTGGCCTCCACTCAGGCCAGTGTCCCCCTCCTCCCCACAGGCCTGAAGCTGCAGGGAGCTACCTGCAATAACAACAAATTGTCGCTGTCCAACGCCATCTCCACCGTCCTCCCACTGACACAGCTGCGCTGGGTCAAGCAAACGAACGCAGAGAAGAAGGCCAGCGTGGTGAGTGCGGTGCCCCGCTCTGTGCAGGGGACACTGAGGAGCACAGCATTTCCTTCCCCAGAGCCCTGCTGCTCTCCACCTGCGTCCCCTTGCCTTGGGCCACCACCAGCCTCCTCACTTGTTCCCCACAGGTGACCCTGCCTGTTTACCTGAATTTCACCCGGGCTGACCTCATCTTCACCGTGGACTTCGAGATCGCCACGAAGGAAGATCCACGGAGCTTCTACGAGCGCGGTGTGGCCGTCCTGTGCACCGAGTGACCTGGCACATGCTGCTCCTGGTGACCACGGGGTCAGTGTTCACCCTCCTGTCCCCGAATGCGGACGTATGGACTTGGAGAGGAAGAGGCGGGTCTGAGTGGGCAGAAGTGGGGTGAGACTGACGGTGGGAACCGGACGCTGGAGGACAGAGCAGCTGTTTTATGAAATAAAACACTAAATGAAACCTGGCTGAGTCTCCTGCCAGCCGCATCTCAGCCTCCCCAGGCTCTGCACGACCAATGGGCCCCTTTGCAGCCACACAGACGCCTGCAGGAGACCATGGTGCTCTGGGTCCTGGGTCCTGGGTCCCTGGGCCCAGCCAGCCCTCAGAGCCCAGTGTCCTCTTCGTCTCATGCCATTGCTGTCTCCTTCAGCTCCGCCACCTGTCCTGGCCCCACCATGGCCATCCCTGCACCAGCCCAGGGTGGCAGCAGTGTGGCTCAGCCTTTCCCGTGTCCATGGTGGCAGGGTGGGATAGGCTGGCACCGCCTGCCACAAGGACAGTGTCTTCCAGGGGACAACGCAGTAGCAGGCCTTGGGGCAGCCCAGCCCCAGGCACTGAGGGCATTTGGTCCTAGCAGGCAGGCACAGCAGGAGCCCCAGCCCGTTACCCCCAAAAGGCCTAGACTGGGGGAGCCAGAGCAAGGCCGCAATAGGAAGTGGTTCCAGGCCGAGGCCACAGGACGCTGGGGGACGGTGAGCCAGGCCAAGAGTGTACAACACCCCACAAAACACAGTCCTGGTCACTGAGCTGGGGCGGCAGGGCCCCTGTGACCCTTGGAAACCAAAAGCCTGTGGCCCAGGGCCACACCTCCCTGTCCCACCATCAGGAGGGTCAGGCAGCACTGTCCCCACCAGCCCCTGGTCCCAGCCTGCAGAGCCAGCAGGGTGTTCAAGCAGGAAGCGGATAGAGCAGCAGCTGTCTTGTGACTTCCTTTATTGTACTTGGGAATGTGGCCCTTGAGCAGGGGTGGGCACCAGGCTCCAGGACAGGACCAGACCACCATTCCGTGTCAGCACCAGTGTCCACGCCCACCTCTTGGCGGGAGACAGGAAGACAGTTGGTGCCCACATTGCAGCACACCAACCTACACCTCAACCCGGGCCCGGCAAAGGAGGACTGAGGATTAGGAACCGGAAGGCAGCGGGAGGAGCCCCAGGGCGGCCCCCAGCCAGCCTGAAACACCTGCCTAGGGCACTCGGCCTGGCGTGAAACAGGCCTTTAGTTTGCTTTATCTGGGCAATTTAGGGAAACCCTATCTGGAATTAAATTGTTCAGTGGTAAAGCACCTGGGCTTCAGTTCCAGTACTGGAGGAAATGTGCAAAGTAGAACTAGGATGGGCCACACGGGGGCCCTGGTTTGGTTTGGTGGTGGCTTTTTTGAGACAGGGTCCCGCTATTTTCCAAACCAGCCTTGAACTCACTGTGTAGCCCTGCCTGTCCTTTAACTCCCTTCAACTCTTGATCCTGCTTCAGCTTCCTGGGTGCTGGATCACAGGTATGTGCCCCACTCCTCTTTATTGTATAAGAGGACCACGTGTTTCATACATAAAGCTTTTTTAGTACTGGGGGTTGAACCCAAGGGCTTTGCACTGAGCTGCACCCCCAGCCCTTTTGCTTGTTGAAAACAGCTCAGTAAATTCCCCAGGCTGGGCTTCAACTTCCATTCCTCCTGCCTCAGCCTCCCAGGCAGCTGGGATCCAGATGTACGCCGCCAGGCCTGGCCCCTGCTCAAAGGCAGGTCAGGCGAGGATTAGCCGTCTGGGCTGGCGCTTTGATCTCTCGTTATTTTCCGAGTTGGTCTTGTTTTGGGGGAATAAGGCTCGTGTGCCCACCTACACCCAGCACCTCCGCCCCTCCTGGGCTGAGTCTGCTCACCTGGCTTAGGCCGCGTAGTACTTCTTTCTCTTACTGTTTTCCGGCTCTACAAGTAAAAGTTCCAGCTTCCTCTTGGAAAGTGAGCACTTGGGCCCCTTGTGCTCGACCCCAAGTCTGGGTGATGGCCGTGGCCCCCTGGCTCTGCCTGCCGGCTGCATGTACACATAGCTGGTGTCCACTGCCAAGACCTGTGTGCCCGCTTCCCCGGGACCCTTGGACTTTGTGCCTCAGGGCCCGACACACAGCAAGCAGTCAGCCAGAGAGCCGGTGGGCCCAGAGGTCTCCAAGTCTCCATCGTCTGGATCTAACAGCTGATGGCAAAAGGATTTCTCCCCGTCAGCAGTCTGGTGGGCAACACTGAAGGCCCACAGTCCGCCTCCATCACCAGTGCCAGCGAGCTCTGATCTGCCTCACAAATGACTGACCTTTTGGGAGTGACCCCAGGCTGGGCTCAAGTGTGCAGTCCTCCTGCCTCAGCCTCCCCCAGTGCCGGGATTAAGGCAGGAGCAACAGCACCTAGCTGAATCTTCTAAAATGTGTGAGATCAAATAGCTGGGCACAGTGGCACCTATGGGGCATCCCACTGCGAGGGAGGATAAGGAAGGAGAACAGGGGCCCAAGCATTCAAGGCCACCCTGGGTGACACAGGCCATGTCTCAAAGCAATGTGGCTCCACCGCTATTGCTCATCCGGAAAATCCTGAGGCCCTACCCAGCCACCCCCCTCGAGTGGATCTGCAAGGAGCAGGGCATCCCCTGCCAGCCAGACCAACAGTGCCCCTGTGCGGATGTGGGACTGTGCCGTGTCCCCTCCCTCGCCGGCCCATGCAGGGCCCAGGCTGAGTTGCAGAAGCCAACCTGAGAACTGTGCTCCAAAGACTGTCCCTGTAAGCTGCCAGGCTGCCCCATTGCCTCTGCCAGCAACTGGGAGCCCTGGGGATCCCATGTCCCCTTCCACTTTCTTATCAACCCCAAGGCTCCCCTCCAAATGGCCCTGGTGGTGACTGTGTCCTGAGAAAGCTGAAGCTACTGGGAGTGAAGGCCTATGCCTGTGATTCCAGCACTCAGGAGGCTGAGGCTGGAGGATCGCTATGACTTCAAGGCCAGCCTGGGCTGCGTAGCATGACTGTGTCTCAAAAATAAAACAAGCTGGGAGAGGTCTGACGTCCCCGCCACTGACCCTGCCACTGACCCAGGTATGTCCACACCTTCCCAGGCACAGCAGTGACCTGTGCTTGGGGCTCCAGGTCCCACTGCCTGTGGAGACATCCCCTGGACACCACGTCCTCCAGGGATGCGGCTGGCCGACGGGGGTGGCTCTGGTGCCCAGTGTCTCTCTTCTGACACAGCTTCAGCAAGTGGCACTCGGGGTGCATGCACTTGTGCTGGGACTCCACCAGCCTGCCCTTTTCACTCAGGACGTGAAACCTCCCAAGAACTCACTGCCTCTTTCTGAATTTTTTAAATGCATTTTTTATTTATTGGCTTTTGGAGATGGGACCTTGTTACATAATCCAGGCTGACCTTGAACTCCTGATCCTCCTGCCTCAGCCTCCCAGAGTACTGGGATTTCAGACCTGCACCACCACGCCTGGCTAAATGAGAGTGAAGATTGCTTAAATCTTTATAGATTTGCAGTTAATCAATCTTCCAGGCAAACTACTTTGAGTCAGGCTTTTTTTCCTTTTTTCCTATTAATATTTTTTTAAAAAGCAAGCCAGGTATCATAGCACATACCTATAATCCCAACACTCAGGAGGCTGAGGCAGGAAGATCACAAATCCAAGCCTAGCCTGGCCTACAAGGTGAGTTTGAGGCTGGCCTGAACTACACAGCAAGACCTTGTCTGGGAGAAAAAAAACGTACTTTCTTCTAAAATACAACTCAAAAGCTGAGATACAGCTCACATATATGCCAAGCCTGCCTCAATTGCCAATACTGGGAGAAACAGCCCACTGAGGCAGTGCGAGCCTGTAATCCCAGCACACTAGGAAGCTGAGGCAGGAAGATCCTAAGTTTGAGCCCAACTTGGGCAATTTAGCAAGACCTGCCTCATGATAAAGATAGAAAGGGCCTCTGGTGTAGCTCCGTGTGAAGGCCCTGGGTTCCATCCCCACTACTCAGAAAGGAAAACACCTCAGGTGTGACCACGGCCACACTGCAGGTGCCTCCTGAGGCAGCAGGGCTGCTGTCCCACAGAGCTCAGGCCCACTGTCCCTTGGAAAGCAGAGGCGGTGCTGGGCGTGCTGTCACTCACCTCCCTCCAGATGGCTTCAGCCAGGTCCGCAAGGCTCCTTCTGTGGGCAGCCTGGGTGAGAGGCTGGGCTGCTGCTCTCTGCCACTGGGCAGCCAGCAGCGGGGGGCACAGGTGACCCCCGGGGGACAGCACAGAAGCCACTCTGCAGCCTGCGCCGAGGGGCCGGATGTGTCCCCACCACCACAGGAGGGACCGAGGTGACCCACTGTCGGCCACACGGCCCTGGTTCTGCCCAGACCATGGCAGGGACCATGCGGGGCCAGGGGTGGCTGGGCCTGGCCCTGCGTTTGCCCCTTGTCTACAGCTCCTGTGCTCACTCGCTCAGCCCTGAGTTCTGCTAAGTCGCCAGGCTGCCAGAGCTCAGCCTGGTGTCTGCCTTGAGCACCCACAGGTGAGGAGATGCTTGGGGTCCACACCAGCTAGCTGGGTGACCCAGACCTGGGGGCCCCACCCCACCCTGGGACAGGGAGGGAGACAGGAGGCACCTGGAGGTGGCAGCGCACGTTCCTCTGCCGCTTCCCGAAGGCACTGGTTCCGGCCCAGGTGGCCCTGATGCAGGAGGCGCGGCGTTGTCGCAGGCTGGCCATGGTACGGGCCTCACCTCACTGGAGGAGCATCAAATGTGCAGGGACAAAGCCGTCAAGGTCAGGTGGGGAGGGGATTTTCCACAGCCTTCTGTCCTCACCCTGGTGGCAGAGGCCACAGGATATCTTTGTCAAAACTCAGAGTCCATGCCCAGCGTGATGGTGCACACCTGTGATCCCAGCACTCAAGAAGCTGAGGCAGGAGGATCGCCATGAATGCAAGGCCAGCCTGGGCTACATAGGCTGTCTCAAAACACCCAAACCGTGGACCAGGAATTTTAGCTCAGCTCAGTGGTTCTGCCGCCTGCCTCAAAAGCACAAGGTAGGGGCTGGGGATTTAGCTCAGCGGTTCGGTGGCCTGCCTTGCAAACCCAAGGACCAGAGTTTGATCCCTGATACCAAAAAAAAAGCACAACGTCTCAAGAGTTTGGACCCCGGAACAACAACAAAAACAACAAAAACAACAAAACCAGAGCCTTGAACAACTGGACAGACTTGCGTTACACCTCAGCAAATCAACCGAGGGACTTTGCAAAGGTCTTTAGGGGGAAAAAAGTTTTGAGTTAAAGCTGCTGCATAACGCACTGCCCTGAGCCACCTGGAGGAGATGCGAAGACCCTGGCATCCCGGGATCTGAGCAGGTTGGGACCTGGAAGCCACCACTCTCCATGCCTCTGCCTTGTTTTTGTTTTGATTTTGGAGATGGGGTCCAGGCTGGCATTGAATACAATCCTCCTGCCTCAGCCTCCCACGTGCTGAGATTACAGGTGGTGCTATGACTGCCTGTTGCTTTGTTCTAACAGGTGAATTAAATCCCAGGATTTAATCCCGGGGAATGGCGCACCCAGGATAAAAGGAAACAGCCTTTCCTAAGAAGTGTGAGGTTAACAACAAACTAGTCCCTGCAAGGGATTTAGCTCAGTGGCTCCACCCACCTGCCTCACAAGGGCCAGGGCCTGAGTTCAATCCCAGTAAGGATTCTTTCTTTAAGGAAAGAAAAGAAATGTCTCAGAAATCGGAAATCCATAGAGCAAGGAGGAGGCCACAGGTTCTGTGCTGTGCACTCACCAGGCGGAGCGGAGACCGAGGTCGTCCACAGGGCCTCATGTCCTTCACCCAGTCATCGAGTGCTGTTGAGCCCTGTGGGGAAGCACAGGGTCACAGGAAAGTGTCGCCACCAAGTCCGCACTCCCGGCCGGGGCTGCGGGACCCAGCACCAGGGCTGGAGGTGGCCGCTGGCCAGCTCTGCTGTGAGGTCCCGAGGTGACTTCCAGGGCCCACTCTTACCTCCCCCAGCCTCCCCACTGGACTGCTGCAGTCAACGTCTGTCTGGAAATGGCTGAGGGTTTTGCCCCACGTTTTCCTCATCAAGCAACTGGGCGATGGGTGTGAGCTGAGTGGCAGACCATGGAGGGGAAGTGCATGCCACAGCTTTTGTGGGGGTGCACACCTGTGGTCCTCAGGAGGCTGAGGCAGGAGGATCCTGAGGTCCGGGCCTGCCTGGGCTCCACAGTGAGGCACTGACTCCAAGCGAGAGCTGCTGAGGGCACAGGGCAGCTGGCCTCCCGCACCTGGCTGTGCAGGGTCCATGCGGTGCCCCCACTGTGAAGTCACCCAGTGTCCTGCAAGGGCCCAGTTGGCAGCAGCACAGGTATGGGGTCTCGGCCCCTCCTGCCCGTCCAGTTGCTACACAAACCAGGCTACAGGGCTCTGTCTCCAAGGAGCAGGGTGGGGGACGCAGTCCCCTCATGCCCTCCTGTGCTGGCTGCGACATGCAAGGCTCCGTGTCCCTGCACCCCAAACCCACTGCCCCACTGCCCCACTGCTCCACTGCCCATGGCCAGAGCAGCGACCTGCGCCACCTGTGCTATCCCCAGGCTCACTGCAGTCACAGCGCCTCGAGGGATGGAGGGGCTGCTCCAATCCTGGGCCTGGGCCCCACGCAGGGGAGGGGACCCCAAGGCAGTTGTGCACATGGGGCTCTGTTGTCTGCTTTGTGACACTGGGGTCTGAACCCTGGGCCCTCGCACTGAGTGCAGCCACACCCCGTAGGTCCCCTGGGCTGGGCTGAACTTGTGATCCTCCTGCCTCAGCCTCCCAGGGTGCTGGGATTGTTACAGGCACAGCACAACAGGCACAGCTTGTTTAGAAAAATTTAGTGATGCCCCTGCCAGCCCCAGGCCCCACAGCCAGGCAGTGGAGGAGGTCAGCTGCCCGGGAAACGCTTGGGAAGGCTACAAGCCTAGAAGTGCTTGCTTCCTCCTCACCCCTCTCCCTGCAGCTGTAGCCCTCACTCTGAGGCGTGTGCAGGTGCCCCCAGGAGGCCACCCCACAGGGCAAAGGGGCGGGCAGGCCCCCCGAAGACACCTCCTGCTCAGGGAGACACAGCCACATCCAGGGAGGGCTGTAATCTCAGCATGTGGGAGGCTGAGGCAGGAGGATTGAGATTATTTTGAGCCAAGGTCCTACTAAGTCACTAACCTGCCCCGGCAGAGCTAGAACTCGCCATCCTGCTGCCTCAGCCTTCTAAGAGCTGGGATCACCACACCTGGCTGTGGTCTCAAAGGTCACCCCCACCACGAGGCCTTCCTGGAGCAGTGCTCACACCACAGAACCCCTGCGCACGCACACACACCCTCAGCTCTCCCACACTGTGTCCTGCTCTACTGCAGTCACTGCCTGACCTTTGTTCCTGACCTCTGCTGTCCCCTGGGGCCCCGGAGGCTTTGTCCACAGCTGCGGCTCCAGGCCATACACAGCTCTGACTGATGTTTGCTGGAGGGACAAGGGTGCATGCTCTGCCCCAAACCAAGCCAGGCTTGATGGCGCACCCCTGTAGGCTGAGGCAGGAGGGCCACTACCAAGGTCAGCCTGCGCAACAGGGTGAGACTCTGCCTCAAAAACACAAAGCAACCAAAACAAAACAACACAATTCCTAATGCAACAGTGTTGAGACAAGCCAGGGATGGTGGGGCTTGCCCAGGAGTCCACCTCTAGGCCTCTGAGGCAGGAGCATCCCAAGTTCAAGACCAGCCTGGGCGTCTTTGGGAGATCTGGTCTCAAAATAAGAAATTTTGGGGCTGGCCAAGTGCCCAACAACTGGGGGCTGGACAAAGATGTTTTTGTTGTTGTTTTTCTTTAATAAAATTGAGTACTACTCAGCCATAAAGAATGAGAAACTAGAGATATTTACATCTAAATGGGTGCACACTGAGGCCATACTTTTAAGTGACATAAATAGGACACACATGGATAAATACCAAATACTTTTCTCTGGTGTGAGAAACTACAAGTGTAAATGAGGACCAAAATGTATAATAGATAATGTGAAATAGAAAAGGTCCAAAAGAGGAGGGGGAAGGAGAAGTGGGAGGGGTAGGGGAAAGGAAAGAAGGGAAAGGCAAAAATATGAGAAAAGGAAAAAATGGAAACAAAGTTTCTGTAAATAGGGTGGAGGGGGGTGAAGGGAGGGCTGGGGTATGGGGAAAAATAAGAACCGAGATATGTCATGTAAAGGTACAAGATCTTGGGCCAGGGGTTTAGCTCAATAGTTCCACTGCCTGCCTTGCAAGCAAAAGGACCCAAGTTTGATCCCTGGTTACAAAAAAAAAAAAAGTACAAGATCCCAATGATGAATGTAACTGTATTGTATACCTAAAAGGTAGCAATAAACTAAATGAAAAAAAAAAGAAAGAAATTTAGGGGCCAGGGATTTAGCTCAGTGGTTCGGTGGCCTGCCTTGCAAGCGCAAGGACCCGAGTTCAATCCCCAGTACCAAAAAAAAAAAAAAAAAATTTAGGGCTGGGGATTTAGCTCAGTGGTACCACGCCTGCCTGGCAAGTACAGAGTCCTGAGTTTGATCCCCAGTAACAAAAAAAAGAAAGAATTTTTATTTTATTTATTTTTGGTTGGGGGAGGGTACTGGGGATTGAATTTAGGACCTTGCACTTTTAAGGCAGGTGGCAGCACCACTGAGCTGAATCCCCATCCCGAGAAAGAAATTTTAAAAGGGTTGGGAATGTAGCTCAGTGTGAAAGAGAAGAGGAGGAGGAGGAGGAGGAAGAAAGGAGGGAATGGATTTTCTGATTTTTTTATGTTCAGAAAGGGTCTCATTAAGTTACCATCTGGGCTTGAACTTGAGATCCTCCTGCCTCAGCCTCCCAAGTGCCAGTATTCAGGCAGGCACCACCAGCCCAGCTAAGAAATCAATTTCTGCCTTTTATAAAATACCTGGCCTCAGGCCTCCTGTTATAGTGGCACCAAGCTGCACAAAACAGGACTTAGTTAGAAATAGTTTTCTGCAGCTGGACATGGTAGTTGCTTGTCTGCAACCCCAACTGCTGGGGAGGCTGAGGCAGGAGGGTTGCCAGTTTCACTTAGTGAGATTTGGTCTCAAAATTTAAAAAAAAAATTTTTTTTTGGTATGGGGATCCAACTCAGGACTTTGCACTTGCCAGGCAGGCAGTGGAACCACTGAGCTACATCCCTGGCCATTCAGAATAAAATTTTAAAAAGAGGCTGAGGATGTAGCTTGGCAGTAGATCACTTGCCTGGCAAGCACAAGGCCCTGGGCTCCACCCTTAGCAGTGAAAAAAGAAAAAGAGAGGAAAAAGTAACGGGTCTTGTAAATGTAAGTCAGGGTCTGGACAGGCACTTGGGCAGGGTTTCCAGGGACCCTGCATCCAGCCACAGACACCCTGGTAGAGACAGGCAGAGGGTCAGCACGCATGTGCATGCGCACGCACACACACACACACACACACACACACACACACGAGGCCCCACTACACAGCAAGCCCTGCAGCCCCTCACCCACTCAGGCCAGGCCCACCTTCGTCCCTCAGCGCTGACCTCCAGCCTCAGTGCCAGAGGTCAGGCTGCTCCTGCCTTCACACTCTGCCCAGCGGCACCTGCCCTTTCTGGCCAAGCAAGATGCCGCTCTACTTGGGAGGCTGAGGCAGGAGAACCATGGGTTAG